ACAGGGCAGTTTCTGAGAAAGTTTTGAGTGAGACCATCGCTGCGTTTATGAGGCTTTATGCACAAAAGTAAGGAAAAAACACATTGCTTTGCCAGAGGTGAATGAGGAAAAACAAATGCGTAATTACGCAGCGCATGCAGGGCCTCCAGATTTACGGAGTTAGTCACTCAAGTGTATTTGTATAGCGCTTTCATAGACCAGGATCACAAAGCATTTCACATTTAAAAGACATACAGATGAAAATAATACACAAAAGTCAGATTTAAAAACAGAAACAGAAGAGGGTCCTCATCATGATCTGTGATTTATTCGAAGTTTGCGTGTTTCCATTAGACTTTTTCTAATTCGCAATTCAAATTTTTTAAACATGATGCTTAATGAAAACACAGCTTATAATTTTGTGAAGTAGTGTGAATATGGTAATTGTTGTCCAAATCTTGAATTTCATGCGTGTTTTGGCGTGTTGTGCCGAAGGTTGAAATGAGCGTACACATTTACACCTACTCCTGACCTGGTGTATATTTTTTGCGTATCGTACTGTTAGTATTAGATAGCAATATGGCCTACGTGCAGGACTGTACAAGGACTCTGATGATGACTCCATGTTTTGACTATGATGTGCACTGTCTCTTTGTGACACGTATGTCTTTCAATGTGTGACGTGACAATTACTATATACAGTGCCTTGCAAAAGTATTCGGCCCCCTTGAACCTTTCAACATTTTGCCACATTTCAGGCTTCAAACATAAAGATACAAAATTTTAATTTTTTGTCATGAATCAACAACAAGTGGGACACAATCGTGAAGTGGAACAAAATTTATTGGATAATTTAAACTTTTTTAACAAATAAAAAACTGAAAAGTGGGGCGTGCAATATTATTCGGCCCCTTTACTTTCAGTGCAGCAAACTCACTCCAGAAGTTCAGTGAGGATCTTTGAATGATCCAATGTTGTCCTAAATGACTGATGATGATAAATAGAATGCACCTGTGTGTAATCAAGTCTCCGTATAAATGCACCTGCTCTTTGATAGTCTCAGGGTTCTGTTTAAAGCGCAGAGAGAACCATGAAGACAAAGGAACACACCAGGCAGGTCCGAGATACTGTTGTGGAGAAGTTTAAAGCCGGATTTGGATACAAAAAGATTTCCCAAGCTTTAAACATCTCAAGGAGCACTGTGCAAGCAATTATATTGAAATGGACGGAGTATCAGACCACTGCAAATCTACCAAGACCCGGCCGTCCCTCCAAACTTTCATCTCAAACAAGGAGAAGACTGATCAGAGATGCTGTCAAGAGGCCCATGATCGCTCTGGATGAACTGCAGATAACTACAGCTGAGGTGGGGATGGTGTGTTCAGGGTGATGAGCTGTGTTGCTTTTACGCCAAACATATCGTTTTGCATTGTGGCCAAAAAGTTCGATTTTGGTTTCATCTGACCAGAGCACCTTCTTCCACATGTTTGGTGTGCCTCCCGAGTGGCTTGTGGCAAACTTTAAACAAGACTTTTTATGGATATCTTTGAGAAATGGCTTTCTTCTTGCCACTCTTCAATAAAGGACAGATTTGTGCAGTGCACGACTGATTGTTATTCTATGGACAGACTCTCCCACCTCAGCTGTAGTTATCTGCAGTTCATCCAGAGTGATCATGGGCCTAAATCAAGGTTGCCGACCCCTGGTTTATACAGTATGTGGAAGCATTCTGTAGAGGATCAGGATGTCTGCAGTTTCAACAAAAAAATAAAGTGCAATAGTCTACATTACAAGAGAGTAATAAACATGTCTCAGAGTGAGGGAGGTGGACACAGACATGAGAATTGGTCAGCCATTGGCTGGCTCTAAATCTGTGTTTGCTCGCTCATTCTCCACCACCTTTGGAGGGGGTTCCCAATTAGACCTAGGGGTTTCAGCCTATACTCTGCACAGATGTTATTGTACACTATGCCCCGATATTATAATAGATCCGAGACAATGCCAACCACTTGGCTTCGCTGCCAGCATCTTGCACAATGCAGTTGTGTTGTATTGTCTCAGGTCCTTCTTTGCACAACCAACACCTTGGGTCTTGTCTGGTGTGGTATATCTGGGGCTCTGGTGTTCAGGGCCTGCTCCTGTGCAGCCATAATGAGTGCCTCTGTGCTGTCCTGTAGGCCAGCCCTTTCTAGCAACCACTTCTGCTATGTTTCAGTGGTTAGTGGTTACATTCCGTGTAGGGGCTTGATGGGCTCTCCTCCAGCACCTCCTTATCTCGCCACTGTCTGAGACATTCAACAAGTATGTCATTCGTTTGAGCCTTCTCCATGATGTAGTTTTAGAGTTTGGATGTTTCGTCCTTGACAGTGGCTCTCATACTCATTAGTCCTCTGCCCCCTTCTTTACGGCTTACGTATAGCCACAGGGTGCTGGTTGGGATGGAACCTACCATGCATGGTAAGGAGGTACACTTCTGTGTGGATTCCACCATCCGAGTCACCATCCTGCTACATTTCTCGAACGCCATGGGGTCCCCTCAGGTGAGTTGGAGGTTTGTGTGTGGATAGGAAGTCTGGGCGTCGCTTGGACTGCTGCCCCCGCAACCCATCAACGAATGAAGCGGAAGATAATGGATGAACTTGAGAAAATATTTCTGGTTAAAGCTGATTTAACGATGTGACAGAGGCAAATATGTGCATGCAATACAAACTAGTGATAGAAACAAACTTTTTAAACTAAAGACATTTTGGGCGCTTTTGAAAAGTTGACACACATATTGAACAAAAAAACGTAACACTCATTTTTTTAAAATATATTTGAAACTTTACAAACCAAAACGCAGCCACTTCTTTGTACAAGATACATATGGACAGTGGAGACAGAGTTGCATGGTTTCTACAGTCCAGGCCGCTGCGTGAGATTATTGCATTCTTACAAAACCGGAACTGACTGAATGCTTAAGGCTTTGCTGAAAACAAATTCAGATCTATTCAAGTATAAAATGGGCCGCAAGCGTCTATTAAAAAAAAATTAAAATAAACGCTTAAAATGCATACAATTGAAAAGGTGAGCAAGATTTTAGCAAAATGGAAAGAAATTAATGGATGATTGAGGCCAAAGTTACTCCTCATAGTTTAACCAGTACCAGGTACATTTTTAGATCAATCAATCACTGGTTTTAAAACTGCCAGTGATTGCTTGAATTTCCCTCAATGCTGGTTTGTTGTGGGTGATGGGATACACTACCATATTCTAAAGTGTAATTGAAACACAACCAAGTAGATTAGAGCCGAGGAGTGTTCGGCGAAGTAGCTCTGGTGGAAACGGGGCTTGCGCCTCTCAGCTGGCCTGGGAACGCCTGCTTGAGCTGGAGGAAATGTGTGTGGAGGTCTCTGATAAGACTGCTGTCTTCGTAACCTGGCAACGGAAAAAGCGGAAGATAGTGGATGGTCTATGGTTGATCACAGTATTTTTCTGAACACCAGCAACATAACCAAATCCATCAAAACCAGATCTGTTCAGGACTAAAAAACCTCCCCATTTCAAAGTCTCTCCTCACTGACAGTGGATGGCGGATGGAAAATTCAGTATTTTGGCCTGTTCCTCCGCAAATATGACTCTGGATGTCAAGCTTCAAAACGGTTTGTTTTTCGGTGCATTCGAAGTATGCGTCTGTACAGGTCCGATCCCTGTCCCACAGCTCTCTATCCAACTCAGTCAGGATTATAAGTCAGTTTTCCTCTGGTGATCAGTCTTTGTGTGAGGAGACAGGGAGGATGAGAAAGACTGTTGGAGTGGATACAGCCACAATAGCTGCTTATGGAGCTAACACCAAGAGGAAGTGAGAATGGGAGTTTTGAGGCACACAGTTCAATTTTCTCAGCTGCAGTCCATTATACTTCTCAAATGTCCATGTTTTAACTCTTCACCTGACCAATCAAATTCTCTCCTGTGTGCAAGTGGAAAGCATTTGCTTTGGATTGGCTATGAGAGAAACACTCTGAATATAAAATATGAGGTCTGGCTGCAAATTGGCTTAGTGGTTACTACACTGCAAAAATGTATATTTTAATTAAAATGTCTTTGCATTTTAGTTCATTTTGTTTACCTTAAAAAACAAAATGTACCAAAAGGAGACGTATAAACGTCTCAATTGAGATGGCTACTGCCCTTGAAATGTTGGCCAAGATTAAACACTACTTTATTCAAACATTCAGTGACGTAAATGTGATTATTTTTGCAGTATAGCCCTTCTGCCGTTGGATCCAGAGCCTTCCAATCATGGCCTCTGTAGGGGTGTCAAACCTGCAAGATGATTTCTATGGCCTCACAAATTAACTTAAGCATTGTTGTAGTGCTACCATGGCATGTTACACATGTTTTTAAAGCAAATTTTTAAGAAAACAGCCCGATATTTTAGGTCATTCTAAACAAAAACACAAATGCAATTAGAAATTAAATAAAACATTAAATAATAAAAAAAAAAACTGGCCCCGTCAATATGTCCACGGTTCAGTTCTCGTTCAATGCAAACATAACACAACTACAAATTTCATGTTAATACAATTTTGGTCAAAATATTTACCTCCATAGGAGGCGTAGGTGCTAATGCTAATGTGCTCAATTAGGAGATTTAGGTTATTACAGAATGCCTTGCCCTTGATGGATATGGGAGGGAATGGCTAATATATATCAATAACTGAAAAAAAAAAGGCTCGATATACATCAATCTCTAAAATAAAGATTTTAACAATGAATGCTCCAGTAAAAAGTGTAAGTCCTGAATAATGTTGGAACCCGACCAAACGAGTTTGACACCCCTGACCTAATCTTCACTATCCGTAACTGCAAACCTACCAAGATGCTGCCTACCTACCCATGCTAACAGGCCAAACAAAGACAGCACTGATCAGACTATCGCGGGTTTATTGATCTGCTTTCTACAATATGGGGAAAGATGCAGACCACTTGGAATGTTCCGGTCTTCAGCAGGCTGATCGTCATTGCTGCAGTCCCGCGGTTCACATGAGCGAGTTCAGGTGCTGCACATGTCCCACTGTGTTGAGCATGATTGCCCTCTGGTCCAGAACCTCGCGGTCTCGAGCCAGAGCTGCTCTTTCCGCCTCCACGATGGCCCTGTCCCGCTGCAGATCCTCTCGCTCGCGCTCCAGCCACATCCTCTCCGCCTGCACAGTGGCCCGCTCCTGCTCCAGCATTTGCCGCTCGCGCTGCAAGGCTGCGCGCTCCCTGTCCAGCACGCCCCACTCACGGTGCAGTGCCACGTTGCTTTCCGTCACAAAGGTCTCCGTGCTGAAATCCGGAGCGGTGGTGGAGGCAGACGTGTTAGAGGGGGTGATGTGGGGTGGATTGGCAGGCGCAGGGGGCTGGCGTTTGGGTTTTGAAGGCGTCTCGTCTGGCGTTTCATCCGGTTCGAGGAGAGGCGCGCAGTGGGAGAGTCGTCCTTCGATGGCATCGTGCATCAGGCTGTACCAGGGCCACGATGAGGGATCCACGGATGCCTCCATTCCCACTGGAGGAAACCGCAAGTCCTGGAGACGAGAGACCATAATTGCGTGGTTGAATCGATTTGATAATAAGTACTCGCAAATCTAATATATTAAAACCCAAAGTTATCATAATTAATCATATATATATTCAGGGGTGCACATGTGGTATGCATGCGCGACAAATATCAGAAATGCGTACTATCACTTGAGTTAGTAAGCGCTAGGGCTGGGCAAAAAATCGATTTAATCGATTTATCGATTTTGTAGCTTAAAAGGATTTTTATTTTGCAAACTCGAGTTTTTTTTTCACCACATTTTTTTTCTGAGTTTTTTGCGTTTCGTCCTTGTGGGTTACCGTAGAGCGTTATGAGCCAGCCCCCTCTGCCGCGTAAACACAGTCAAAACAAGAATGGCAGCGTGTAGTAGAGCAGGGGTTCCCAAAGTTTTTAGCCCGCGACCCCCATCATAAATGCCCTGCTAACCCTCCTCAGCAGAAGTGGAGCGCATTTCTTGCGGCTCGCCCTCACTGTTCTCCTACCGCGGTAAAGTGGGCCGGCTTTCCGGAGTCAGCGGTAAAGAGGTCCGCACATTAAAAGCAGGCGGCCGCTTTCTGCTGTTACTTTATGGTGCGTTCATCCCCGCGGCTTCTCTTTCCAAAGTTACTGTCAGTAAAGGCATAGACCGGCCACCCGCTTTTAATGTGCAGACCTCTTTACCTTTGACTCCGAAAAGCCGGGCCTCTTTAACGCGCGTGTTCTACCGCTGTCCTCCCTCCCTCCGCTGCCCTCTCTCCCTCCTCTGCCCTCTCTCCCTCCTCTGCCCTCTCTCCCTCCTCTGCCCTCTCTCCCTCTCTTCGCACCATCAGCCTGACCCCTGATACAAGTGACTTTTCTCCCCCTCCGGGTTTTTCTGTTGTGGATATTAACCACGTTTCATTTTAAAGCAGGTATTATTTATTTGTAGCCTCCAAACACCTTTAGTTTTAGCAAACAACAGCAGGACACGCTTTGTCGCTGCGCATGATGTGAGCTGTGTTACGTGATGATTTTGATAGATGCTGCAATGACTGGGACAAAATTACTAACGTTATTAAAATATATTATAGTCTCCAAACACAATTTAACAAGTAGTCCTTTTGAATCAAATCAAATGCTAAATAAATATTTAAGGGCTTTATATTTGCTCAAAAAAAAAAAAATCTTTTTTTTTTGTTTGTGTAGAAATCATCATGCGACCCCCCCAGGGGTTCCCGCGACCCCCCGGGGGGGGTTTTAACAGGGGGGGGCTTGTTAAAAGTATTAGATGCGAGGTACAGTACGTTGTCCCCAGTCGCAAGTATTTCGCCGATGTAGCGCTGCCTCACCTGTACAATACAACTCGTGAAAAGATCCGCGGTGAGCTGGGGGAGATGACGTTTTACTCAGCCACCACGGACCTGTGGTTGTGGACAGGCTCATCTTTCTTGCAAAAAATGCTTAGAATGAGCATGCACAATATTTCAGAGATCTAATGTTTTGTTGTTAAAGATAAAAGTTTACATTTGTTTATCCTTTGATAAGTAGTTAGTTAGTAGCTATATGTCTGCCACAGGCATGTTTAATTTTTTTTATATTCACATTATGCTGAGAGGTTAAGAGAAGAGTTTATTTTATTTTTTTATTGTAATGTTATATGTTACAAAATATGTAGTTATCTGATTTCTTAATCAGAAAATGTAAGCTACTGTGAAGTTGATGTTGCACTTTTGCTTAAACCTGGGTTAAAGCTTGAAATTGTTGAATAACAGAGCCTCATTTACTTGCATTTTAACTCTTGAGGACAATCACAGCAATAAATTTGCACTTTTGACAATATATCTGATGTCTCCAATCATTTTTAAGTGCATTGGGAAAAAAAAATTGAAAATCGAATCGAAACTTGAATTTTTCTTTTAAAAATTGGAGATTTTTTTTTTAGGCAAAATCGCCCAGCCCTAGTAAGCGCCTTTGCGTACTTCACATAGACCATAGACCAGTCCTTCTCAAATAGTGTGGCGCACCTCCCTAGGGGGACGTAGTGCAATGCCAGTGTGATGGAGCTACGTGCGCAAATATAGTATTATACTAAAGGCTGACTTTCATGCCGCACGCGCCACACACACACACGGGCACGCACACACAAACGCCATTTGCACAGTTTTTTCCCCGTTCCATTTATACATAACATCCACACGCATCCATTCTCTCGACCGTCTCTCCCCTCATTACTAGTTCGCCAAAAGGTGCACACTTGTGCGGGTCAGAAAGACATTCACACATTTACCGGTCTGTCGCGCTCCTTTGGGTCTGTGCACGAGGATCGAACCAGGACACTATTTCCTGGTGAGTTAAATGGGAATTATGCCCATGTGATGTGCGTAAATGTACATGTTTTGAGAGTATAATGATGTAATGTAATTTCTACCAAAATTATTTGCTCAATGGGAGGGGCCAAGAACCGTGTTTGGCACAGTCTGCCGCTGGTTACAGAGGAAGTAAGTTGAAACTTAAAAAGGTGACCTATGTGTGTGTGTGAACTTGTTTTTTTTTGCTGATTTCATTGTAAATACGCTCTGCACTGCCTTCACCATTTTTTTTTTGCACAGTATAGAAAATAGACCCACCTAAGCACTGGACTCCAAGCTCGCCCGTTTTATTTTTAAGCAACCCACGACAGCCAGAGAGGGTGTGCTTGATCACATTATGATCACATTACGTGGTCATAATGTACCCAGCGCGGCCCATTCTCTGCTTGTTGAAAGTGTGTGTCTTTGCGTAACGCAAAATAAATAAATACAGTATATACTGCGTTACTGCAAGAAACAGAGCTGCACTATGGAGCCTTAAGGGAGTGTCCATGTCCTCCATGTGTCTCTAAATTAAAGCTGTGGCACCTACATTTTCCCTTGCATTAATAATGCATAATGATGTTGGTTGTGCCCAAAAGTAGAATGTTTCGAACAAATCAAACAGAACATTGTTTTGATTTTCTGTTTTGCATTTTTAAGGAAGAGCCCCGTGAGTCATTATTTGACTTGGATTGAGGTGATTATCTGAACTGATCTAAACCTTAGCATTAAAAAGAAGCAAGTATAAAATCTCGATTAAGAACTAAGCGACAAATGGAGTGAGTACCAAACACCAGCTCCTGGTACTCATCTGAGAACCTCACTGAAAAAGGTATGTGCACCCCTGTATATATTGTACTTATATAATTTAAAAGCTGGGGTATCGGGTTCTAGTATTTAAATTTCTGGCTAAGTGAGGTTGGTCCACATTGGTTTCACTTTTTTGTCTAGGTTGAACGCTGACCACATATTTTAAATCTGCGTTCACAAAAAGGGTCAAATAGTGACTCTCAGGGCTCTCAATTATGAGATGAGGACAGCATGTCTGATCTGTTCACATTTTGCTCTTTCTGTCAGAACATGTGTAAAATATGAAATAAAAAAGGTTTTGGTATCCCACTTTTAATAGTCTTATTGTTATGATCATTTATGCAGACGTATTGTTATTTGTATGAGGTAATAGTTTATATAACAGGTTATAGGTTATGAAACAAGATTAAGTTTTGTACCTTGTATCTCCTCTTTAGATTGTCCCATTTCTTGGCGAGTTGCACCGTGGAGACTTTCCCCTGAAGCCCGAGCTGCACCAGGATGGCTCTGAGGACATTACGGTTTGATGAATAATAATAATAATATTCCTGCCTTGTAGCGAACAGAATAAAGACTTTACCTCCAGGCAGCTTTAGCCGCGTTTCTGCGTCCAGTGAACAACGACTCGTTTGCAGCTCGGAGCTTGATGAATTTCCCAGTGAGCTCATCCGATACTGAAGAAAACGTTTAAAACCATATTTAGGATGATCAAGTAAAAAGTATCAAATTTATATATTTCTATGCGCCCCACAGCCTGTCTCAGCAAGTGCGCCTGCATCAAACCCACGGTCATGAGCAGAGAAGATCCCCAATAAGGTGCACCAAACCTTGGGTGAAGCTGAGCTCTTTCCAAGCGTTTCAAACTCTAAACTATGACCACGCACCACACTATCCACAATGTGGCTCAATTCAGTGTTGGGAATTTCAACAACTCCCTCTTTTATAACTAAATTTTTCTGTATAGTAATCTCATACTCAAATATTCATGTTTATCCATTTATTTTCTATATTAAAGAAGGTGTACTGAACTTTAAAAGCACAAATAATGAAGTCACTTTAATAAAATCTGCAGTTTAAAGTTTCTATATTTTGATTTCCAAATTGTTTTCAAGAGGGAAATGCAGCTTATAACCACTTTCCATTCAATTAATTATACTTTATTTACAAAACATTCATAAAAGGCCATATACTTTACAAATTTCAATTATTTGTTAAGAACTTTCTAAAAAGCGAGGGCCCCAAACTGGAAGACTCGGCACTCACATATAAAGCCATGGTTTGTGCCTGATGCCTCCTCTCCGTTGGCGTCGATCAGAGCCACGTCCTCTGACCCCTCCTCCTCCGACACCAGGCTGCTCTCCAGCGCTTGCACTGCTCTCCTGTCCTCAAGGGGACAGTCTCTCACAGGTGGTGGGGGAGAGGGAGAGGCAAGGAACACATCAGCATCGCTCCACACAGGCTCCACTGTGGGCGCCTTCCCCATCAGACGGCCCTCCAAGGCGTCGCTCATTAGCTTAAACCAGGGCCATGCGCTGGGATTCACCTGGCCCTCCATGCCCTGAGGAGGGAACTTCAGGTCCTACAGGGAATTTGAATAGGTTAGTGCCATATGTACCAACACGAACTCTGAGGAGCACAGGGACTGGCAGCCTGCTGATGCCCAGAGTAGGACTAAACATGGGGAGGCAGCGTCCAGGATATCTAAAACTCTTTTTGAATGTACTGTTATTATTCATGATTTTACTGCCTTTTACTGTTAATGTTAGGGTGTATTCAGACCTGAAAAGTCCTTTGCTCCGCTTGCTTGATCCGAATCAGAAGTGGACCAAACTTTTTTTCTTTTGCTCCGGTTCGTATTCAGACTGTACTTTTTGCAAGTGAACTTTTTTATATAAACATATTGACACGTGTGACGATCGGCGCTCCGAATGGACAGAGAGAGCTCACGGAGGATAGACGCGGAACCGGAGAAAAACATTGAGGGCTCGTATGTGCAGCATGTCTGCTCTGCCTGTGTTTGCTCTTTTTAGAGCAAAACCACCTTTCACATTAACAGCAGCTCATATGACACAGGCCAAACACGTTGTTTTAAATATTGGAACAGCGTCGGAGAATGCGTGAGGAGAAAGCCGAAGGAGACTGTCTGTGCGCTACGTGCCCTGTCCATGGATCTATAATAATAACTCTGTTCCACAACTTACTGACAGCAGCATGTGGATAAACCATGGATCTATAATAACAGCGGGATAAACAGACGCTGAGGATCAGGTATGAACCAAATAACACAATTCACTACATGATGCGGAATATTTCTTTTTGAAACATGGGTCAAACAGTGTCAGGCTTTTAATAATGCAAATGATTTGAAGATGCTGCCATTAACATCACTGTATACTGTGAACAGTTGTAACTCCATAAGCCTGTTGCACAGCGTCTCCTCACTGCTCCAGGTCTGCACACGGCTCAGTGTTGTTGTGTAGCGTTAGCATCATAGTTAGCCGCTGCATGGCTAATTCCTCAGTTTCTGTCTGCGGTGCTTGTTAAGCCCAAAAAATGCGCACATATCTTGGAGTTGTGTCGGATCGACACCGGTTGTATTCAGACCTGATTCGACTTGGACCAGCATTCGTTTGGAAGCGGAGCGAGACCACCTAAAAAAGTGGGTCTCGGTTCGGTTCTTTGGTCCGGACCAGGATTCGTTTGTTTATATTCAGACCTGCATAAAAGGTTCGGATCAGAGTTCCAAACAAATCCTGGTCCGTTTAAAGTGGAGCAAAGGTGCAGGTCTGAATACACCCTTAATTTTCTTGTATGTGTATTTGTATTTATTTACTCATTAATACCAAAGTAAAGGTCGTAGAACTTTAAAGCTGGGGTATTTGAATTTCAATCCACAAACTAAAATCCATGTCTAGTTCCTTGCTCTAAACACTGTTTGCTTCTATCACTAGTGTTCACATCCATGCCTCTTTTGGCCTTTGTCACATCTTTAGATCAGCTTTTAAGACAGAAAAGTGCAAAAGAGAGGACCACCTTCAATTAGCTCCCATCCCTAAGCAAATGGTGACTCACAGGGCTGTTATACACAAATAACACATTTCTTAATAAAAATAAGACAGCATGTTGAGGCTTTACTTTTACATGAGTGTCAGGTTTTTTCTCTTTTTCTTTTGGCCTAAGCTACATATTTTTCTTACCTTGAACCTGGTCTTGAGATTGTCCCACTTCTTTGCGACTTGATCAGGAGTGATTTTCCCTGCAAGGCCGAGCTCCTTCACGACTGCCCTAAACAAAAAGAAACCACAGATTTAAATAAAACTCACCAAGTTTCGTAAGTTTTCACCAAGCCACACGTTATTTGGAAATAGTCTTTTTGAGCTTTAAGTCTTGTAACAACATTGAACCTCAACAGTCACAGACATGGAGTGGTTTTTAGCTCCTTCCACGCTAATATCAGGAACACACCCAGCCCTTCAGTTTTCAACCGAACATTCCAATCAATTGTATCTTTGGCCACAGTGCTACAGTAGTTGGAGCAGAGCACAATCTGAAGTAGGGGTCTCAAACTGGCATATTTATTCATTTTTTTGGGTGTGCAAAATATATGAACATTGAAGCAAAGAGTTAAACAAGTAGTTTACAGTTGAATGGTACAGAATGCCAAGATGTTTCAAACCTAGGAGTTTATTATATTTAATAATTACAGAAGAGAAAGTAAAGGTTTGTCCTTGTAGAACAGAGAGACAAAATAAGGAAAACCAAGAAAGAGTGAGTATTGTAGACCGCTGAAATGAATAATGTTATACATATTGTGTTAAGTGTTCAATGCTTATGATAACATAAATGGCGTGGTTGTTATCTTGATGAAATTAGAGAGGGGGAGTCGCACAAAAATTAAACTCTTGTCTACTAGGGGGCCACAAAACACCTTTTTGTCACAAAAAGAAGAACTTGACACAACACTGCATCCTGGGGCCGTACCTCCAGGCCGGTCTGACCGTGTTCCTCTTTCCCGTGAACAGAACTTCATTCGCAGCACGCAACTCGATTAATCGGCGCGTGTCTTCTTCCGTCACTGAAATCACAGATGTAACACAACTTTATACATCTTAGTCGTAATACAGATGGATGGACAAGCTTGTCAATTTGGACAAGCTGCAAAGCACTGTCGCGCTACATATGGCCTTTATATGGGGAATTATGAAGAATCACTTATATGAACTGACCAAGTCCCTCTGCTGCAACAATAGAAGTATGAATGCCCACCCCTCTTTCACTGGACACACGCATTAGGAATTCCAGACTTAATGTTATCAATGAAGCCAGTCATTCGCTGAGGACTGCTTACAGTCCCGGGCAGAAATGTCAGATGGAAATTATATTAGAAGTTCTGCCAGGGGGTATAAACTTTCAAGCACAGCAGTAACTCCACCTTCATGTGTGTTTCATCTCCTTCAGTCTCTAAAGTGAAACAGCCTCAAGTTTCCACACTAAGCCTGACTGAGATCCTTACGCCTGTAGCTGTATTCTCCTCTGTGAGAGTCCAGGTTCCCCGCTCCATTCTTCTCCACGTTCTCCACCAGGAGGTCGATCTCACTCTCTGTCAAGAAGTCAGTCATGCCGCGGCTGCGCCTCAGTCTCTTCTTGGGAATTGGAGAGGAGGCTTCGCAGTAGTCGTCCTCCTCCTCGACGATGGGCGTGAGGATGGGAGCGGCTCCGGCCAGACGCCCCTCCATCGCTTCAGTCATGCGGAAGAACCAGGGCCACGAGCTCAGGTTTGGGTCAACACCGGGAGCCGGGAACTTGAGCTCCTGAGGGGAAAATATGTGTAAAATATAAGTTGTAAAGTATTTAAGGCCTAAACAAAAAGTTAACGAGAAATATAAAGCTCTCAGCAAAATCTCTACCTTGTATTTTCTTTTCAAATTGTCCCACTTTTTTGCCAGCTGATCTATGGAGACTTTCCCCTGCAACCCCATCTCAAACAGGATAGCTCTGAAAAAGAAACGTAAAAAAATAGTTATAAAGTTTCCATGATTTATACCAAGGTCAGTGCAACAGGAAAGGAATGTAAATTGTTCCAATTCACCAGGCATGTCCAAATTGAGGCCCATGGGCCCATTGCAGCCTTCTCTCATGTTATGTGGCCCTTTGCCGCCAATGCTAAGTAGGCTTGGAGCTCAGTGTCAAGCAAGCTTCAGCTCTATGCTGCTGTACCTTTTTGGAAAGCTCTTGAATCCAGCTGTTGACTTTATTTGTATATACTGACTTTTTCAATTATGTCACAAAATTAAAAAACAATGTAGCTGGCGTTTAAGTAAACATTGATCAGTCAGCCAACTCCAGCTCCGTCAAACATGAGTGGGGCTCGCCCTAAAAAGTTTTGATTTACTGCATAGGTTCATTCTATGCACTATTTCCCCAAAGTGACATACAAGAATGTGACAATGACACATACATAGATAACTCAATTCATAGCGGCGTGTAACATCATGGTGTGATTATACTCTGGTATGTCACAGCTGGTGTAAGATGTCAGGATCACTATGAACATATGCAGAACCACAGATGCATGCAAATGTGAGGTTGCCCCCCTCACCTCCAGGCCGGTTTGGCTGTGTTCCTCTTTCCAGTGAACAGGACTTCATTCGCAGCTCGAAGTTTGATTAACTTTTCCGTTTCATTGTCAGTCCCTGAACAAGAAGTGTTTGTGAATAAGGCTGTAATAGGACAGGAATTGTAAAAAAGGATTTACTATTGTTTCTTAAAAGCCATAATTACAAAACAAGCAATACTGCAGGACAGGTGCATTTATGGTTTGTGATGAGAAACACTTTTAATAGTAGTTTCTATTGTCAATATAACCTTACAATAGATAACAGCCACATCAAATCTGTAACATCTGCAGTTTTTGGCCATCAAAAAAAAAATTTAAGCACTTTGAGTTGCCTGTTTTCAAATAAAATTGATCTTTCCATATCATATTTGTTTGACAATGAAAAGGTTTTACACAAACAACAATGAGTGGGTGTGTACACCCAAGAACAAATAATTATATATTGTAAATTGCTTCACACATCACAATATTGGGGAGAGATATCTCACAGGTCCTCGTCCAGGACTACACGGTTTTGGTGAAATATCTAATTTTCCTCAACATAAGAATATATGTACATCTGTAGGAGCACTCGGACATCCTCCTCCAGCCCAGAGGCACCGGCGCCGCTGTGGTCCCCACTGAACTTCGTGTCCTCCTCATCTCCACAGACTCGTCCATCTCTGTCTTGATGAGGAATTCAAGGATGTCCTGGTTCTCCTGGGGTTGTGGCTGGCTCTGCTCCTCGCTGGGCTCCTCGCCCTGCTCTACTTCGGGGTCTGGGTGGAGAACTAAGCTGCTGTTGAACAGGCGTCCGTGCATTGCCTCTTCCATCATATGGAACCAGGGCCACGAGGACTCAAGGCCTCCAGAGAGCTCCTGCCCCTGGTATGGCTGCTTCAGGTCCTAAACACACAACACACAGACAACAATCGCACTAGTTACTTCAAGAACAGGTTTGTGTGTTGTGAACTTTGAGTCAACAAAATGTCCTGCATGTGAATGATTTATTGAGCACATTCTTTTTGCGCAATAAAAATGTCAAGTGAATGTGTTTGTGAATACCTTATATTTTGACCGAAGATTATCCCATTTCTTGGAAATCTGATCTGGAGTTAGCTTTCCCTCGAGTCCCAGGCCTTTTAAAATAGTACTATAGAAAAGAAGGCAGTTATAGATTGAAGCAGGAGCAGTCTGCATACATGTGCAGACAGTGAAAGCGATTCCATACACTTTCAAAACCTTAACAAAATACAATTCAAATCTAAAGCAAATTATAACATTTAATTATCTATTACAAACAGAAAAATGTGCCAACGGTGGGAAACTGCATGATTCCTAGATCCTAAACACACTTCACTATTTAACTTTCTCTGCTGACTTAGGCCCTGTCCACACGAAGTCAAGCTCAGGCCTAAACGCAAAAATACTTTATCAATCCAGTGTATCGTCCATACGAGGCCGGCGTTTTGGGGGGGTGTAAACGAACATTTTTGAAACTAGGTCCCAGAGTGGAAAGATTTCAAAACTCCGTATATGCCGCTCCGTGGTTACTGCCTCTCCGCAATGTATCTGAGACGCTTGCGTCATCGCCCCGCCTCTTGTTAAAGCACGCATGCGCCGCACTCAGAAAATAATGACAACAACAATGTAGCTTGTTGGTTTTGTAATCCAGTGTGACCCGAAGCAACAGTTCAACCTCATCGTCCGTCCATACTAATGTAGTACCAGCTCGCCCACTCGCCATGTTGTCTGTTTACAAAATTCCGCGCATGCCCAGTTCCCGTCACGGAAGTTTGGGCTTGATCCCGTCATTGCGTCACAGCGCCACCAACAGGTCTGGCATAGTTTCACAGCGTTTTCAGGCGTATTGACTACATTCATATGGACGCACACATTTACTGAGCTAACTCCGTGTTTACAGAAAAAGTTTCTGAAATTATAAGCGTTTTGTCTTTGTGTGGATATAGCCTTATACAGTACTACTGGAGTTTTGTAATGTTACATAACCAACAACAGATACAACAACAAAAAAGACATGTTTTATCTCAGTTTTATCGCAATGTTGAGTAGTATGGACAAAACTGACCCTAACACCTCCAACAGATGCATCATATTACACACAACATCAAAAGATTGCACCCCAAGGAAGATTTTGGAGGAACTAAACAGGAAGCAGCCCTCCTCCAGGACAAGACTTTGCAAACCCATTCACATTTAGGAACCATTATTATGCTTCATACCACATTGTTACATAGTGGAGCTTTAAGGAACTCTACTGTACAAGGGGAATGTAAAGGCTGGCATAAGATCTCTGACCTCCAGGCGAGTTTAGCGGAGTTCCTCTTCCCGGTGAACAGAGCCTCATTAGACGCTCGTATCTCGATCAGTCGCTTCACGTCGTCCTCAGTCACTGCAGCAGAATACAGCAGAGAAAAACAGGACAACTTTATAAAGACCGGAAAGATGACAAGCACACTGCTTTAAAACTATGGAATGAGTGGATGTTAGAAGTAGCCATTCATCACAATTTGTGATTGTATAAAATTATACTACTCTATTAATAATAATAAAAAAGAATACCACCATATAGACAACCATCAAAAACATGCTTCTAAAAGGTTTCACTTCATTTTTAAAATGCACTTTAAACGTGAGACTAGCCACAACAAATGCAGACATTTGTATCCACATCGTCTAGGATGAGTGGTGTTGTCAGAGGGCCTAGCTGCACATATTTGCTCCAGAGCAGCTGTGGCTTTAATTTATCACCACTGGTCGGGACTGAGGTTTTTGATGTATTTTCCAGCAAAGATAAAAGTTATGTAGCAATGTGGGGCTTTTTTAATAGTGTTAATAATTGCAAACATAAAAACAACATATTAAAAACGGATTGCTTAAGTATAAACTTTCTATACTTTGTTGATAAAATATTTCTAATCATATGTGGACGGGGTTGATTTTTTAGAATACATTTAGATAATTCTAATTCAGCATTGTTGTCAAATCCCAATACGACGGTTGGTCAAAACTCGTTTAGTGAATAAATCCATGGATACCAAACAATGAGACTGAAACACAGCACTAGACTCAAAATAACCAAATGGAACATTACATGGTATATATTTAACCAATACATACACACAGTATATGTGTAGAAGCGTTGATTGATTTCATATTACTTGCTAAGTATAAAATATGGCTAAAAGTTTGTGAAGTAAAAACAGTGTATTTAACAGTCGTAATAGCGGCGCAGCAACTTTGAAGACATTGAAATTATTGGTGGAAACTCCGACCTCATAGGTACATGTTCATAACCATTAAATCAGTGGTAAATACTTACTTTTATACGAGTTTTCACTGAATTGGTTCAAAGCAACCAGAGGAGTCTCCATTGACAATATTGGAGAAGTCATATCTCGCAGCTAACGTGGAAGCTAAGTTGTCGATGCTTACCTCTGCGTCTGAATCTAACTACATATTCCCATCTACACACATCATAAAGGTGATTTAAGCTAGTTTTAATCTAGCTCTCATTGTAAACTCCGCCAAAGGTCTATATTTTGACGCACCAAGATAACAATCCTATGCAAAAGTCAACGCGATGCTAACAGTTGCTAACCTCAACAATGGCAAAAAAATCATGGTTTTTCAGAGTTTAAACTCGTATAAACAAGCTGGTTGTTGGTTTACCCGATATATGTTCAACGGCACAGGCTAAATATAACTAATGCTACCGGTGAATGTATTAATACAGAGATAAATTTATGCTAATGCTACACCGGACACAGAAAGCGTCCGGTTTCTGCAGGTGACGGGAGGACTAGCGTTAGCTGCTCGTTCTTTCTTCTTCTTCTTTTGAGTTTGTGGCAGGATAGGAACCCCCTGGTGCGTTGCTGCCTCTAGGTTGGTTGAGACGATTACTGCAGAGACTGTTTCGAATATTGTTATGCTGATAATTGATGTTGTATATATTTTTCTTTTAGGCGGTGCGCCATCTACTGGTTGCTCTATATATATTAAGGATGTATGAAACTTTCTTGATATGTTTTACAAATTATTATTCAGCACCATTTCCACCAGACCAACTCAGCTCTGCTCTACACGTGTCTAGGTTGCCTTTCCATTACAATTTAGTCTCTGGTATATATCTAAGCAACATACCCACAAAAAACAGTATCCTGGAAAAAGGCTGAGATAACAGTGGCTTCCAGCAGCATTCTGTCCAATCATTGTCAGTTGGAACACTTTTTAGTGGATAAAACCACGGTCATAAGCAGGTACTAAATACCCAGTACCAGTCAAGCAGGGCTGGTGGAAACGTTCCCAATTGGGGTAGTGTCAGGAATGAACCAGACAGAGACGGATCGTGGTGCGCCAAGCTCTGGAAGTTTATTTAGGTTTCTCTCATGTTCCAGTGGTATCTGATGTTTCTTTCATCTCAGACCAAAATGGAGTCAGTACATGTTATAAATAGTATTAGTATTAGATAGCAATATGGCCTACGTGCAGGACTGTACAAGGACTCTACAAGGACTCCATGTTATGACTATGATGTGACTGTCTCTTTGTGACACGTATGTCTTTCGATGTGTGACGTGACAATGACTATATAAACTGTGTACTGCCTTTATTCTGTCTGAGGAAAAGAAACAGAGTAAACCAGTGGAACTTGAGAGCAACTTAAATAAACTTCCAGAGTTTGGCACACCACGATCCGTCTCTGTCTGCTTAAATCCTAACAATAGTCATTGTTACGTCACACATTGGAAGACATACGTGTCACACAGAGGCAGTGAGAGCAAATCATAGTCATAACATGGATACACAATCAGAGTCCTTGTTAGGCCCGAGCCCCAACCGGGGTAAGGGCCTATTGCTTTTCCAACGAGTAATGCCTGGGCGAAGCGACGGCACGTGCCCAGACACTGATAAATCCGTGCTCCTGCTGTAGTACACAGTGAAATGATTGAGGTCCTATAAAGGGGGTTCTTTCAACTGTCTTACGGACAGTGTAATCAATGGGGTCCTATGGGGGGGGGTGGGTGACCTCATGATGGCGAGGTGATTGACGAGCGCATCACCGAGAACCCAATAGTTGCGTCCGCCTGGTTGTTTGCTTTAAAACGATGTATCATTTGTATTATAGGTTACTATGGAAACCTATATTGTTTTTGCTCGAAGATTTAAAAAAAAAATCCTTATTTATTTTTTATTTATTTATTAGGCCCAACGCGCTTTATTAGGCCCGACGCGCTCGTCAATCACCGAGAACCCAATAGTTGCGTTCGCCTCGTCGTTCGCTTTAAAACGACGTATCATTTGTATTATAGGTTACTATGGAAACCTATATTGTTTTTGCTCGAAGTTTTAAAAGAAAATTCCTTGGTTTATTTATTTATTTATTTATTTTTTCTTCTGCGCTTTGAGCCTTAATTTGACCCCCTGAACATTGATGAAAAGTTGTGAAATTTTGCCCAAAATTCAGAACTGGCGAAAAATAAAATTTTTTGGTGTTTATTTTTATGGGACACAAAAAATGCCCGAACATATGCACATAATTCTGTTTTGTCATCTGGATTCAAAAAGTCAATGACAACATATTGTTATTTTTTACCCTGTTGCCGTGGCGACGACCAATACTCCCCTGTCTGTGTCTATGGCGAAATCGTTAAATCTCTGAAATGTACACCTTGCTCAAAAATCAAACCAGCCGCGGCCGTTTCACTAATTTGTCTGAAAATTGCTCCACATCGTCTCAACACATGGACCATCAATAGTTGAATATAGAATTTGAATAAGTCAAACGGTTTGCGCGTGACAGACTCCCAAAGTGTGGTTATTTTTATAGAGAGGTGTGAAGTTCCCATGTTATCCAATGGAGACTGTGTGGACACACTCAGATTGTATGTGCAAACAGGAGCACATTCACTAAACTTGACTCTGTTGTTCAATTCCTGGGCCTAGGTCACATGACAGTGTGAACAATGACATTGGCTCATTATCGCCCCCTACAGGCTGAGTAAAGGCTTACATGGGGATACAGGTATTTAGGTTATATGTTGTTTAATATAGTCTTGCAGTTGTCCTGCATGTAGGCCAAATAGCTATCTAATCCTAACAGTAGAATAGAGCCGAGTAGAGTTGGGCCAAGTAGGGCTGGTGGAAACGGGGCTTATTTTAAGCATTGAATGTCAATATATGACATAATAAGTTAAAGTTGGAGAGAAGTTAGTGCTCAAGTTACCATACTTCCCCAGAAAAGTGTCTCCTTAAACAGTTTGACTGACAATGTGTGTTTTTTTAAAATCAGTCGGGAAAGCTGACCTAGAGCAAGAATTCAAAAACATGTAATTTAATTATGTAAGTGCGGGTTTTCTATCATACCTCATCAGAATAGTTGCACAGTACGTTTAAGTGGGATAAGTCCATAAATATCAATGAATGACCAAAATAAAAAGAAAAAAAGTGGGGAAGAATTTAGAAACTTTGGGGAGAACAAAAACAGTCTGACCTCGAGACTCCAGACACCCTCTGCATGACACTATGGCGGCTCAGAGGAGTAATCGTAGCAACAGGTTTATATCATTGCACTGCCGAACGGAACGTTTCAAGAAATCCTTTGTTCTTTTGGCTGTCAGACTGTACAACAGACCAGTACCTATCTATTAAGAGGTATATCTATTACGTGTTTATTCATTCATTCATTTACTTATTGTGTTTAGGGTTCAATGTTTATGGTAACATAAATGTGGCTGTTTTCTTGATAAAACCAGATTTATAATGATGTAGAACATGTCACATTAGTCAAGACTCTGTTTGAGACCCCGGAACTATCCCCAATATACCGTAATAATAATTTACAATATTAATGCAGTAGTTTGGTGAAATGTTTGCCTGTACTTAAAGTGGTTCTCACCCCCGCTCCTCGGAGCTTACGTCACTCACATTTCCTGTTCAAATCTTCCTCTAAATGGGCGTAGCCTGGAGGACTAAAGGGGGCGTGAACGAGACTGGGCCGTTTACATTGCTCTGGGCGGGGGGCTGCTGACGTCAGGTCCAACTTCTGTGCCAGTGTTGGCGCCAGATTCAAAATTCAAATGTAGTAATACAGGTCGCCAGCAGATGGCGCCTCACAGACGGTTTTAGGCAGAAAGTCTAACTTTCAACTAATTTGCACCAAAGTGACAAGATTATGACCAGGATATGTAGACAACACTATTGGACACTCATTTATACCGTTTATCAGCAAAAAAAAGTGGATTTGAGGGTGAGTTGTCCTTTAATTCATAATCCATCATGAAAAGTTCATAAAATTGCTCACAAAACAAGACATTAAATAAAACAATATCTCTACACACAGTGTATAATGTTTAAGCAATTCCAAGTGGTTACTTTTGATTTTTTTCCGACAGTTTTTTAACCAAAGTTGCAAACCAATGCCTTGTTTCTTCTTGACCGCCTTCCTCCAACAACAACGCTAAAACCTTGTCTGTCACATTGTCGCATGTTTCTGAGACATCCACTTGTTCCTCCTCAGTCGCAGACTTCCCCTTCTCAACTTTTTGTGAATTTGTAAGCATTTCCTTCTGCCGTTCAAAATCCTCCTTCGCTTTGTCTAGCAAAATCCTATCCCTCTCAAAAATGGCTTTGTCTCTGTCCAGAAAGGCCCGGTCTCGCTCTAGCAATAGCCTTTCCTTCTCCAAATCCGCTCTACTTTTGTCCAGCATGGCTTGGTCACGTTCGTTTCCAATTTTAGCTAAATCCAACACCTGCCTTTCCTTGTTCACCTGCTCCCTTTCCCTTTCCAGGTTTATCAACTCTTTGTCAAAATCGCTCTGTTCTTTTGTGAGCGCTTTTTTATCCCGCTTATACTCCAAAATTCTCTTATTCAACTCGGCAACTTCAAAGGCAAGACTTGGCTTTGACGCAAGACCCTTTTTGCTGATGCCGTTGGCAGTGGCAGTAGAATCCGGAAGCAGAGTGGCGTAAAGTAACGAAGTTGGTTGCACTGTGGTTAATGTGCTTGTGTTATTTGCTGGTTTTGCTTGCACAACGATACTATGGCTGGAAGTGGATGGGGCTTTACTGGCCACCGAAGCCGTCGAATCTGGTAATAGAGCTGTGTATATAACAGCATTTTGTAGAGTTTTCACCTGAACAATTTTGGGCAAAGACGGTACACTTTCCTTTACTGCCACTTCTGTAGCTGGCATCACAGTGTCTTGCATTTTTGACTGGATGCCGCCAACGCTTTTGTCGAACAACTCTTCGTCTTCAATTGGTGCCATTTCAACCATGTTCAAAGCACTAATTGGATCTTGGGAGTTGATGCTAGGCTTGTCCAGTTCCTTTTTTTCGTTGTCGTGGATGATTTTGGCAGCTCCCTGCAATCGACCTCTCAATGCGCCGTCCATCCGGAAATACCACGGCCACGAATTGGGGTCCTTTGTGTTCTCACCTTCGGGAGCGTTTTTGATCACCTGGAAAAAAAGTACAAGTTATATGATGTGTGTTGGGATGGGGCATGACTATATCAACTCGGTCAAGGAGGACTTAAGAGAGTATTGACAGAGCTCAGGCTCAGAAGAAAGCGGTGAGAAAGAAGAGGACAAAGCTTATCAGCCCCCTAGCCTCTACAGCGCTGGTAAACAAGATCGGAATGGAGGCAAAAAGTGCCTATATACCTGCTCTGGCTGTAACTGCAGACACAGCAAAAAAGCCCGAACGATGCAAAAGCGAGGAAGAGAAGAGGGAACTAAAGCAGAAAAATGATCAAAGAAGAAATCAAGCCCGGGTGAACATAGCTAGCTTACATCGTATCCTCTGGAGAGGCTATGGGAGAGACCTGCGGGAGCGCCTCGGACTATCTATGCTCGGACTACATGCGTACGCGAAACTAGTACTAATCTTTCAGTTATATATTTTGTTAGCAGTGCGTTGCTTTTGTATCATTTCAACAGCGATTGTTGTACAGCTTATGATAAGTTGCGCTAATGCTAATGTTAACATCTGTATCAGATCGCAAATAAAACTAGATGGCTCCATTGCAGGAGAGCGTAGGGGAAATGAGAAGCCTGTGAGCGAGTTGAGGGGCGGTGCTAAACATTCAAACCTTGCAGAAACGGGTATAGCTCCTTTAAAAATGCATATTAATGCACACAATAGGCCATTTCTTTTATTATTATTTTTCACACATAAGGGCCCTCTGAGTCATTATTTGACTTTTTGGGCTGAGAGTGGACTTTGTATGGAGAAATGTTAAACCAAGCTTCATGTCAAGGCCTGGATTTAAAGAAGCTATACCGATTTTTGTTAAATTAGTTCATACATTTTTTATTATAATCCGTATTTTAATTGAAAACTTAAGCTCATTGATTCAGCTTGTGTATGAATTCAGGCAGTAAAAAGTGCTTAGTAGAGACTCAGGCCACTCCTCTTCTAGCGTCTACAGTGCAGGTAAACATAGCAGCATGGCAGCAGAAAGTGGCTCTACCTCTTATGGCTGTAACTGCAGACACAGCAAAAAAGCCCGAACAATTCAACAGTGAGGAAAAGAAGAGGGAACTAAAGCGAAAAAATTATCAAAGAAGAAATCAAGCCTCGGTGAACATAGCTAGCTTACATTGTATCCTCTACAGTCTATGGGAAAGACCTTTCAGTTATATGATTTGTTAGCAGTGCGTTGCTTTTGTACCATTTCATCAGTGATTGTTGTACAGCTTAGGTTGCGCTAATACTTAAGTTTGCATTCGCATCAGATCGCAAAAAAAACTAGACGGCTCCGTGGGATGACAGCGTAGGGGAAATGAGAGACCTGTGAGCGAGTTGGGGAGCGGTGCTAAACATTCAAACCTTGCAGAAACGGGTATAGCTCCTTTAAGCACTTTGATGAGAATGACTTTATATTGTAAATATAGGCTACAGGGTATGTATTTTTGCATTTTCTCCTGGTGGTGCGCCACAAGATTTTTTTCAATTAAAAAAAGTGTGCCTTGGCTCAAAAAAGGTTGAAAAACACTGCCCTTGAGCAGTGTTTTTCAGCCTATATTTACAATATACAGTCATTCTCATCAAAGTGCTTAAATCCAGGCCTTGACATTAACCCTTTAGGCGCCGGAGTTTTTTCAAGAAAATATAAAATTTTGATTTCAAGATTTCAAAAGGCTATAACTTTAAAATGGTTTGAGATAAAGGCAGACTGTAAATTAGAAATATCTTCAGTTTGAACCAAACTTTAGGATGGAAGTTGATTCGTCACCTAATTTGCAAATTGTGACGTAATCAAGGTGGTGGCCATATTGGAAAATGTTAGTTATTGTATAAAGTAGAGATGCACCGATCCAGCTTTTTTACTACCGATACCAGAGCTATGGGTTTCTGCCGATACCGATATCGGAAATGATCATGCTAAAATGTATTTAATAATTGAACTCTTTGTTCAAGTAACTGCAAAAGCAGTGGATGAACTAAAGCGCTAAACTTTCCAGATAAAAATGGATTCAACATAAATGTGCAATACTGCAACTATAAAGAGCTGCTAACTGTTCACATTAAACATTCCAACACTGTATTATACCTTATACATTTATTGAGTATAAATGTACTAATATTAACTTTTTGAATAAAAAAACACTTACAACAAACAAAACACGCTGCATGAAAATGTAAATAAATAATAGTACCGTAGCTTTAAAGCTGCACTAACTGACTTTATTTTTGTATTCATTACGAAAATGCTATCCATGTCCATGTAGTGCATTGGGATATACTGTACGTCCTTTTGAAGAAAAAGTAGCGCAGATTTGTACTGGCGTAACATAATATTTTAGATTGAGTTTTGATGAAACAAGGAAGAGAACGTGTTTCGGGTCGCAGATTGTGACCAATCACAGCGGACCACTAGCCCCCACTTTCGTAAGAAATCTACAGGTCCGTTAGCACAGACAGCTGAGTTAGCACAACAAGTGGCGGAGCTAACCTGAAGCTTCGTGTGTCTTCGTCACCGGTTACTGCTTACACAGTGAGACAGCCATCCAAAAGAAAGTCTCGTTCCTCCGCGCTTCCCGGTTCTATCGTTCTATAGTCACGCCATCCACGTGCAAATCCATATCCATGGTTTATCTATATTGGGAGACGCTAGCTTCGTCAACAACAGTGGGTGTGTGTGGGGGGCGATAGCTTCATGGGTGCGGGGAGGGGAGCAGAAAGAGCGAGGCCAGCGGGTCCGCGGCTTCAAAATCCCAAAGTCAGTTAGTGCAGCTTTAACTGGATTTCAGATATGTATTTGGGGACGGCATGTACCTGGGTTCCAAATGGTCCATGGGGCTGCGAGCCCAAACTGATGAACTCCAACACTTTCGGGTTGTTGCTGAAAAGCTTTTTGTGACGCTGCGTCAGTGTCATCTGTGTCTTGTTGTTTTCACGTAATCTCCTTTCGATGCAAAAACTCCCCATGCTGTTTCTCGTGGTGCTTAGTCGTGTTGTATTTCGCTAGTTTACCGCCGCGTGAACAACGCTGATTCTTTCCTGCGCTCCATGCTGTGTTGTTGTTGTTGTAGAGCGCCACGAGGAAGTGACGTGTACGTCAGGTCTGATAAATTACTTTTAATTCATTCATTTTATATGTATATGTACATTATGCACAATGTATTTTAAGACATTGTGCGGTACCTGGTATGTATTAGAAAATATTATTTTCAAGATTCAAGATTCAAGATTTTTCTTCTCTTCCGCCTCCGTCGAGCAAAGACGTGTCTCAGACGCTCCTGCTTCTGACTGCTTGCTATCTCCTGTTTTTGTCTTTTTCCTGGAGTTTTGCCACAGACAACTTTTAGCAAGAATGGAAATGGTAAATTGGTCCCTCAACGCAATTGATTCTATCTTTTCAACACGTAAGCGTGGGTCTGGAGAGCCCGTGTGCCCGGACGGGACTTCACCAGCGGGGTATACGCTTGACAGCTGGAACAAGTGGCAGCCCCTCTGTCTGTCGACCCTGTCCATTGAAGATTCGGAAGACGTATATATCTTTGGCTTTTTGGTGGTGGGGATCCTCCTGTTTGGGTTTGGAGCGGTTCTATTCTACCATAAATTCGGAGGCATGGCAGTTCGCAAGATTCACGACCTGCTGGCCAACAAAATTGATGGGATGTACAAGGAGCTTAACCGAGTCGTGGTTGAGAGCGCTGTGGCTGGACAAAGAAGAGTGGTTTTGGTGGAACAGTTGATCAGAGATCTCGCAGCTCGTTCACTTGATGGGCATAAAACTCTGGAATTGAGATTGAATGACATTGTTTGTCACGCTTGAACTCTCTGACCCGGCTTGGATTGGCCCCTGTGTACGGGGTTTGAGGGCGCCGCAATTCGGTTTAATTGGATTTAATAGAATATCTGCCTGTTTTTGACTGCTAAAATGCATACTAGATTGTCCCTTGTTACAGGAAGACGTGTTTTTCTCCTTGCTGTGTCTTCCCTCCTCTCTTATCTCACATTCCTCGGGCCAAGGCCATCATAATAAATCTGGTCTCTACAACAATTTCACACTCTTTCAGTCTTCCAGCTTGGATCCCTCTCCCCCCGCCTCCCTCTGATCTCTCCCTCCCCTCCCCTCCTCACTGTGTTTCCGACTTACCCCCTCCCTGACCCCGCCCCCCTCTGACAGCCACATTGGGCCGGCTGCGGAGGTGCTCATCCCGAGAAAAAAAATCCGTGGTTTATACAAAGCACAATGTTTTCTATCCAACTGTCTGTTGTAACCTGTATGTTATTGCTCTCTGCTGTTTATTCTACTGTTTGTCGCATGGCGCCGGAAAAATGGCGCCGTGGCAAGAGCTCTGGTGTGTGTCGTCTCTGTCTGGCGCACACCGGGGTAGTCTTGCACAGTTTTTCCAATGTGGTTTTACTGCAAATGGCAAATAAATGAATCTGAATCTGAATCTGATATATATAATAAAAAGAAAAAGAAAATGGATCGGCAGATATCCAATCCAGTATTTTTTCTGGTATCGGCGCCGATATCGATACCAGTATCGGATCGGTGCATCCCTAGTATAAAGATTTCAAAAAGTTTTATATTGGGAGTTATTTGAGATCAGGGAGTACTATCAACAGTAAATGTGAAATATCTTTTAGTATGAAATTTATTTGGGATAGAAATAAATTCCCTGATCCAGATTATACATAATGTTTTAGCACTGGTCGGCGGCCATATGGAATTGTATTATTTTCAAAGAACTTCAATGATCAAGACAGCACTCCTTAGACTTCCGGGTAGCGAGCGACCACGATGGATGACTAGTTAAGCGCTCCCGACAGCAAAGTTGGTAAAATCCCCCCCAATTCAAGACCACCGTGCCTTGTTACTCGAATTTAGACTGGAATGCGTGGGGGTGTGAAGACTAGAAGTCGTAGAAAACGAGAACCGCAACAAAACGGGCAGAAAATGGCAGAAACGGAACAAGGTGATGGAGCAGAAAATGTTAGC